TGCTAATTGTCTTTATACCAAAATGCATCTTGTAATGTTTTCCACAATTGAGTTTTCTCTCTCTCTCTCCGCCTGATGTAATTTTGCCCACTTGCTTCCTACAGCAGACAGTGGGCTTTTCTGACAGTGTTCAGAGACCCTGTCTGAGTCACACAGGGAGGGGCGGGCACGTGTAGCCAATCAGTAAGGGAGAGCTAAAATGACTCTAGCACATAACTGGAAACTTGGCAGCAGAAGCTGCACTTGTGATTCCTTATATAGTCCACAGGATGTACAACAGTCTCATCCCCTTCACCATAGCGCCCTCTCGTGGAAATAAAGAAACATTTAAAAAAACGTTCCTTGCAGGTGCTCAGCTTTCCCTCTGGAAGTGTTTGTAGCCCAGGCCTAGAAGCTCAGCTGTGATGGGGATTTGGACATGAGCCAGCTGGACATTGCCTGCTGCCAGTAGTCATGGTGGCTGGGATTCTGAAACAGAATAACATCACTGCTTACAGAAAGAACTAATGCTTTTTATTATCGAAAATGAACACCCTTAATATGTTTCTTAAGAAGATGGCTGGTTCAGGACTCACAAAATGAATAAGCACATAACAAATAAAAACCAAAACAAACAGAAATAAAAAGACATTCAAATGAACAAACAAAGATGGGAGAATTATGTCAACATACAATCAGAAACGACATTTTAAAAGATATTTTTAGAGGACTTTAAGCCCAGAACCAAGTAGATAGTCTATATTCTTAGTATGAGTTATTCATTAAAATAAATGTATAACTGTTAAATGAAAGACAATTATACTAGTTTACATTTTAATCATATAGTCAGTACATGCAATAATTCCCTTAATCTTCAATATAAAGGATGAAGTGCATGTACAACTTTTACAAAAAAAAAAACCCTTCCCCCATTCCCCTACATAAGTGGCCAAAAGGAAATGTTGTTTTTAACACATGCCAATCTGCCCACCAGCCCGGAAGGACCTCCTGGGTCTGGCGCCTGCACACACTTGCCCTTTAACAGCTGTGCTATGGCTTTGAGCTTCTAGGTCTCCCTGCTCATGGATTCCTCCTTCATGGAACATTTTCAGAACTTGGCCTGGCTCTAGCCCCTGCAGTTCCTTCAGCCACTGCTCTGCACAATTATGAATGACATGAGCTGAAGGGGCTTCTATGCAAATGACCCCTTCAATCGTGGACCTCAGGGTAACCAACCGTCCTGGTTTGCCTGAGGCTAGGGACTTTGAGGGAGGTGGGACTCCCAGTGCTAAAATCAGAGACAAACAAGTCCCAGGCAGACATCCCAGGCAGACAGGGATGAGTCGGTCACCCTAGTGCTGGTTGGTTGGTGAGTAGAGGTGGGGGGCCACACCAAGTACTGGAAATGGGCAATTTTTCTAAAAGGAACAAGCATGTCAGACATGTTAGGCATCACTTGTAACCTCCTAGATAGAAAGTGTTGATCCCTAGGATCCAATAGGGATCAGTAAAACTAAGTTATGTTGACATATCTCATTTCCTAACAGGCTGCTATATAACCAGATTTCAACAAGACCTCTCAGCATGTCCTTGTAGACATGATTAAAAAGAAAAGGACAAAATTAGTTATCTCCATGGAGGTTGATATGACTTTACCCTCATGTTTTGATGAATGACAACCTCAATGAGGCTTTTAGTGGCAAAACACAGGAGTTGGCCTTCACCTTTTTGGCCAGCACTTTTACTCACCGTTTGGATGAAAATCTTGATGTCTCGGCCAATAAAGGGGTCAGATAACATCAAGTGGAGAAGCACAGACAAAATACTGGAGGATCGAGTGGGGATCCCAAAGCATCTCAACAGTCTGGACCATTGGACTGGACTGAATGAGAGGCAATCGAATAGGTGTGAATGTGAGCACTTCACCCCAAAGTCCTCGTCCACTTCTTCCATGTCCAGCAGAGACTTGGTAGCAGCACCATCAATAGAAATATAATGTGAGCGACCTCTGTAGTTCTGAATTTTTAGTAGCCACATTTTAAAAAGTACAAAAGAACAAAATAGATGGAGGAAAATTTTAATAATATACTTTATTATTTTAATATATTTTACCCACCATACTTAGAATACTATCATTTCAACAATCAAGATATAAAATTATTATTGAGGTATTTTATACTTTGTTCACTAAATCTTCAAAACCTAGTGCGTATTTTAGACTCAGTACCTCAGTTTGCACTAGCCACATTTTCAGTGCTCAGTAGCCACAGGTGACTACCGTGTTGGACATGCAGCTTTCCAGGGCTCGTACTGACACTCAGGCCTGTGACAGGACCGCCTGCAGTTATGTCTGCCCCAGTCTGGCCGCACTGCAGTTAGAGGCACTATACAGAGGCCTACAGTTATACCACTCACAGGTATTGACTTCTTTCAGTGAAAGGAGAAAGGGTCCGGGCTCTTTGACATGCAAATCACTGTAGAAAGTGTCCTGCTGCCCACTGCCTGTGACCTGTATTCAACCCTTGCTCGTGAGTCCTGGTACAGCTTCAGTGACTGAAAGACTAGAATGTTTTTCAAAGTGAACACATCAAACTGTTTCTTATTCTCTGCTTATCTCCTGGAGTCCTTGTATATGCCTTTTTGTTCAGTGTAGATGTCATTACCAGAGCTAGTGTAACCGAACACAGTCCAGCTCCCACTGCTTCAAAAGCCAACATTCAAGAGGCAGGCGCTCATGTAGAGGAAAGTGGTTTCATTCAGGTGCGGGCCACCTGGAAGAGGAGGGACTATTGTCTCAATGCCCATCTTAGCATCTTAGGCATACTGGCTACTTTATATAGGGGAATCATGGGAAGAGCGGAACTAAGGAGTTTCTGGAGACATGCAGTTTCTCAGCTCTGTTCTTGAGGGGTTTCCGTGTTATCTCCACGTGCACCACCATGCAGTTTCATCGCTCCATCTGCAGTTTCACTGCCGATATCTGGGAACAGGATTTGCAGGCAGTTTCTGCTGGCTCTGCTGAGTCACTGATGATTGCCAGTTTCTTATGGTCAGGGCCACTCCTTGGGTAAGCAGGAACTGCAGCTGCTGATGTCTATACTTATATGGAAACTTTTAATACATGAATCTTCTATGAGTTTGTTAGTACAGCCTATTCTATAATTACCATGTGATTTGTATATTATATTTACTTCAATCCCTCTTACACTAGGGATGGCTTTTTTCAAAGGATACAATAAAATTCTCATTCTATTCCTATTTCTAATAACAACCAATGTAACTTTTGAAATTGTTTTTGAGTTCCTATATCCTGTTTCCTTTTCCCAAAACAGTGATTTCTGAGCACCGACACCCAAATAGGATTTAGGGATCTGGCAACCTAACCAATCAATAGTGAACGCAGCTGAGGACCAGGAAGTCAACATACACAAATGAGTAGCCAAATGTGTTAGAAATGCACGAATGCTCAGGTTAAAACATGTCATCCTTCATTATTCAGTTTGCAGGTGCCACAGAGATGCAGTCTGACCTCCAGCCTGTAACACCCTTCCTGCTTAATTATGTCACTGGGATGACACTTCTTTCAGGACTGAAGACACTGTTACCATATTTTGCCGTGTATAATGCACACCCATGTTCTGTGAGCATTACACACGGATTATCCCCATCATTATACCCATGGTATGTAATCATTATACCCACAGATAATGAACATCCTTACTTTTCCCTCAAAAATTTGGGCAAGAAGTGCTAAATACAGCATCTCTTCTCCCACCATCATTACCTAAAATCCTTTTCCCTGTCTTTATTTTCTGTATGTAAAATTCATGACATCATAGCAGTTCAGAGTACATGCCCTGGAGCAGACTGCTTGGGTTCCATTCCTGTATCACTGCTTGTAATCTGTGAGGTGTAACTCAATTTCCTCAACTGTAAATTGAGGATAACAGCCCCTATTCCACAGAAATGAGCTCACCCATATAAAGCACTTGAACACACACTGGCCCATAGTTAGCACTCACTAGTTTTCTGAGTGAGCAAGAAGCATTTTCCCAGTCCTTCATTCGAAAACTCTATAATACATAGAAGTTTCTGGCCTAAAGGGAACTTACACATTGACTACCACAACGTCCCAAGCCCAGGAGCCCGCACTGTGACATTCCTGGACAGATGGACAGCTGCAGACCTCGTGGTGGGAGCTTGCTGCCTCAGAGACCAAACCTCCATTTTCGGCAGCACTAACTCCTGGGGATGCCGTTGTGCCACGATGCAAAAGCTTGGGCTTTGGAGCCTGGTGTTATGAACTTCCCATCACCTCCATCACCCCACCCTGCTACTATGGTTTTCTTTATTACAAGAAAATCTGTGGAACTTTGATGGAAATCTTTCCACATTACAATGTGCTTCAGAGAAAGCATTTAGGATGAACTGAAGCTCAGTCAATGAAAGAATATTCTTTTATAACTCATTAAATCATGGCAGCCTGGACCATGGATAAACAGGAGTGACACAGCCTCACTAATGCTCTTATTTGCAGCAAGAGTATTATCTATACAGGGTCTTTCCAGCAAGATGAGTAACTCCAGCTTCGTATGTGACTGACTTGCAAAAATCTTGGAAAAGCGGGGATCAGCAAGTACAATCCATGATCAAGAGTTTTCCTGGGCTCAGGTATGTTAGGAAAATGTTTATGATTATTTCTATAAAATGCTCAAATAGGGCAACTCTACTGCGTATTCACTATGTAACAGAGTACATTACACAATGAATATTAAATGTACAAAAAGTCCACTAAACTACATATGTATTTATGTGGTTTCTTCATTTCTAAGGTACGTTTTTCAGGATTAAAAATAAGCCTTTTAATTTTGTTCTTTTCCTTCACAAGTGAACAGGGTTAAATACTCAAGTCCAAAGAGTGATCGAGGTTAAAGGTATACTGCTTTTCACCTTATTCTTAACTATTCTAAATGGACAAAATTCTCATTTTTTCACCCTTTCCACTCATTTTTGTAAAACAGGTGCAAGGCAATGAAAAGGCAACCAGGAGCAGCGGCTGCTGCAGGGTCGAGGTGGGGCGGCTGCTGGACCGACACTGGGGCCTGGAAGGCAGCTCCGCATGCAGCACAGCGGAAGCCGGCCAACGGCACTGAGCACTCACTAGCCGAGGCAGGGAGTCCAGAAGTAGAGGACAAGTCGATTGTGATGGCCGTGTAATGTAGAGGACGAAGGAGGCCACCTGCCACCTGAATTAGGTGCTGCAGGAGAGGCAAGTGTCTTCTGCGATTCTACTTTAAATTCCTTTTCTAGAGCCCTTGGTGATCCCAGTTCCTGACACAAACCAAAGGCTTTTTAATCACCAGGTCAAGTGAGACCAGGTATGTGGAAGAGACTTCTAAACAGAAAAGCCCTTAGCTTTTTCTATTCCCAAATTGAATGAGGAAGTACACTTTCTCAAGGACAAGGAGATCTCTGTAACTTTGACTCATCTACCCCAGCCTTCGTCTACTCAGTTCTTTCAAGCTCCTGTCTAGAGGGCTGGCACGGGGACTGGGTTTTCCCAGTTTTGGGCATCCACCTCGCTTGATGGGAAGACAACCCCACTCACAGGCACCAAGGAGAGAAATGGACAAATGAAGGGAAAGTGACCAAAATGCCGAGGGAAAAGACAACAGTGTAGCTAAACCAACAAGAAACAGGAGTCAAGAAAAATTAACAACAAAATGTATTTAAAAACAGACTTCTCCAGTTGGTATTTTGAATGAAATAGCTACCAATTAACTCCAACCCCTTACATTGTGTCTTTTGCTCCTGGAGTCCTCTTGTAGCTTTAATTCTTGAAACTCGGGTGTCAGCACCAGACATTAAATCCCCTAAGGGAGAGGTATTATTAAACCTTTTGCTGGTCACTCTTTTCTGAACAAAATAGGACAAATTCCTAAGCCCTCTTATTCATTCATGACGATCATTAGACGAAAAAATTAAGCCAAACTTGCATATTGAAAAACAAAACTCAAAAAAAGAAAAATCTTGCAGATAATAAATATCGCTGATTCACTTATTTTAAACAAAGTCCAACTTTATTCGCTCTTAATACCCTTGCAGTCCATTGTACACCTTCTGCACTGATCCCTGTTTCAGTAGCTGTTTGATACCTGAAGAAAGAACAAATGATTCCATTAACACAAATGTGACTTCCCTAGAGTACAAATAGCATGTTTCATGCAGAGGCACACAAGAGGCCTTACGATAAGCACGATACAAATTAAATAATCACCGATGTCCAACTTCATCACATGGGGAAACCGCCACACATGCACACGTACGTCCAAGACAATCTTGTCTTTCCCTGCCTCTCAAGCACACATACCACACACACCCCATACAACCCTATGAGAAAAGGCAATCGAAATGGAATGAAACCTCTTCAGCTGTCTTCCATTCCTTCTTTGTTCTCTTTCCAGTTTTGACCTCTTTCACCGTCTTCCTTTTATTTAGGAACCACCAACTAGGCCCTCCCCTCAACCAGCTACAGCAGACATCACTCCCATGGCTCTAACCCTGAGGTACACCTCATCTCTCCTTGAACAGCTTGGCCTCGCTCATCTGTGGTGATTCCGTTGCACACCCACACATCCATCCACACAACCTATCACTCCCTGGCTTTCAGAGCCTGGCTTACACAGCCTTTTGTGACATAGTGACAGAAGAATTTATAATACTGTCTTTCCAGAAAAGCAAGTTGATTCCTAGTCTTGTGTTCACTAGTGTTAATGGTTGATGTCTGATGTCACTGGCGGGTTTTGTTTTTACTGCCTGTCTTCTTTAACCACCTTGCTCTCATACTCACGTCCATCAAGCACGTCCCTCATACACATTGTATCCCCTACCTTCTCTTGCTTCCTCTGTTAACTGTTCTTTCGGAAAATCCACATCAAAAGTGATTATCAAAGAGCCCTTGATGTTGTTGTTGTCAAAGTTGGGGAGGCCCTCCCCTTTCTTCCATAGCTTTGCTCCTGGTCTGGTGATCTTATCCCGGGAAATATGTACCTGGGAAGCAAAAGGGAATGAACTAGAGCAGGACCGGTACTCCTCAAGTGCACACCAGCGTCTAGTGAACTCGGTGCTCAAAGCTCACATAGCATCTCAGAGGAGGCAGGAGAAAGGGAAACTCATTAGAACACTGGGAGCCAAAGAAAGACAAGGCTTGCAAAAGGAAAAGGAAAGCCAAACACATGAACAAGTACAAGAGTAAGGGTTTGCCAGCGGAGGCTGAAGGACAACACTGACAGAGGCTGTGCCACCAAGTCTGAGTAGCTGAGACGCCCAGAAGTCCAGCAGAAGAGTAAGAAGGAGCAAAGACGGAGAAGGAAGTCCCCACAGCTCTAAGTGATTGAAGTGGCTGAAATAATTTCAAAATCACACACACGACAGCTTTTAAGAGAACAGACAGGAAGCAGGAAAACTGGTTTGTTTACCTTGTGACCATCCAAGTGAGTGATATCCATATCGAAGCCCACCAGAGACTCAACCAGGGAGACTGTCACATTTGTGTATAAATCATCTCCTCTCCTTTCAAATATCGGGTGCCTGAAAAGAGAACAAGGTAAAAATCATTAACTTCCATCCTTCTTCGGGAAGAGTTCAAAACATTTTTAGAACATTTTGAAAAAAGGATGAACATCACTCATTTAAACAACAAGCATTTAGTGAACATCCTTTTGTGTGTAGTATTAACCTATAAAGGTGTGTAAGATTTATTAAACCCCGTTCTTAAGAAGCTTACAATCAGCAGAAGACAAAGCATGTAAATAAACCTACACGTACTTAGATTATGGAAAAGAGAGAAAGACAGCTTCTGACAATGGGGGCTGGGGAGACGGCATCAGGGACAGGTCTGGAGAGGTTTCCAGAGCTGGGCTCCCACGGCCAGGTCAGCATCTAGAGATGCAGATAAGGGGGAGGGTAGGGTGAGAGGGGATTTTAGCAAAGACAGACTTGAGAAGGCACCAGGTTTAGTACATGGTAATAGTACATGTTCCAGTTTCTCTGGGAAGCGATGAGAAAGACAAGGAAGAAAAAACCGGGGAAAAGATCGTGGAGATTAAAGAGTACTATGAGAGAAAAGTCTCAGGTGGCGGGGGCCCATGTCTCCATGTTTAGGTGGGAACCTTCTTTCAAAGAATCCTAAGAAGCAAAGGTATCACTGGTTTCCAAACTGGTAAGGAGAGAAATAATAAACAAGAAAGCCTGAGTCCCAGGCAAAATTCTTATCTAAGCAGCACTTCATGCCAAAGAGAAGCTAACAAAGGGCTCTCTCTGCACAAAAGCGCGTATTATGTCATGGAAGGCCCCTTCTGGAGTCTCCCATTCCTCCTGGCACCATGTTGCCTCAGTTAAAATCTCAGGTCTCCCTGACTCCCCATTCTTGTTTCCTTCTCTTTAACAACTCCTCACGTGTCTTATTAATTCTCTCCTTCTAACCTCTTTGGAATTTGTAGGTCCTGAGTAAACACATAACTAGGCTCAATCCTTGGCCCCAACCCAAAGTTTTCAGTATTGTTGTAGAATTAGAAGTAACCCTTGAGAGTATTAAGGACATTAAACAGAGGAAAGAGTCTGGCAGTGCCTCAGTGGCTACCCGTATTTCTATAATCTGACTCATCTGAAAAGCAGGGGCTGAAGTGAAGGCCCCTAAAATTAGCTTACTTACTTGACAACTTTGATTCGGAACCGTAAGTCTCCTGGTTCTCCATCCACGTGAGGCTCACCTAGTCAGGAAAGATCAGAGCAGGCTGTGAGCCACACATGTCTCACACTGCACATCCGCTTGGCAGCTGAGAGAGTATTTTAAAATCCTCACCTAAGGTGCCCACTATCAAGTCTACCTGTAGCAGTGTCTCTACCTGGTTGTATCAAGTTTCAGATCAGCTGAACCTCAGGCACAGCAATAGATAACTTGACCTATTTCCTAAACAGAGAATGATTCACTGATTTCTTGAAACTAAAATCTTAAAGCTTTTTTTTTCTTTTACAGTTTTCAATGTAAAACCCCAAAGGTAAGGTCTCAGAGTCCCCTATTAATGCCAACTAGAGTTACATGTCTTCTGTCATTGCTGAGTTAAAATTAATTCACTAAGGTCTGAACACCCTAAATTTTGATATAACTTAGGTTACTTGCTAGAAACTTTTAAACAGGATATTCAAAGGATAAACAGTAATGCTACTGCTAAGGGTGCACAACCATGATGGCCAAAACAGGCTTTCTGTGTCCTAAGGCTGACTAGAGTGTTGGAAATAACATGCGCATTTACTGTGTGGCCATTAAGGATACGGGATGAGGTGAGGGTGGGAAGTACAAGTGAACACAGAGCAGAAAGTTATAATAATAAGACATCAACATCGATATTTTACCTTCTCCAATAAAGGGGTACTCCATGCCATCTCTCACCCCGGGCTCTATTTCTACCTCCAGTGTTCGTTCTTCGTTCACTAGTCTGAGATAAAGAGAATGTAATATGAAAGAAAAGAAAATACAAACCAAACACAAATCAAGTTGTATCCATTCTACCAGAGCTTTTTCTTGGAAGACTGTCCCATATCTCTGGTTGACGAAGCCATCCGATACCCATGGACACCTTCTACACGCCAAAGCAGGAGGAAGCTACTACATAACACACTCTCCTTCAGCTGCTGCCTCCAGAACTCCTGCCGTGGAATGACTACTTTGAACCGTGTGATGCATGACAGAGAAAACTGCTCACACTCACATACATTTGCACCAGGAAGGGCAGGGTCATGCTTATCAGGAATCTAGAAGGGGAGTTTATCCCATATGATTTTTTTTCCTGCTCTCACAAAAAGCTGATCAAGTTTTGGTATACACAGTTTAAGGTTCAATTAAATAGTTGTATTTATAAAACAATTAGCAAATAGTACTTCTCTAGTCAGAAATGTTAGCTGGCCATATAATATTGCTCTAATATTCCAAGTATGAAAAATGAAACATCAAATATTTATCAGGTATATTGAGAAATATAGACCACTGCATAATAGCTCAGAAACATAAAGGGAGATATTTAGAAGAAGTACCTTTGGAAAAAATTAAGAGGTACATTTCCTTGTTCTGTCCTCTGGCAGAACATGAGAGAGAAAAGAGTGAGGGGAGGGAGGGAAAAACTCTAGGAATGGTCCATTAGCATTTTATTAGACAAATGAGATGATTAGAGTATCTTTTGGAAGAACAACTGTCACTTACTTGACATTGGGGCACTCATCGCAGACCACCTCCTGGGTCATCTGGAAGCGCCCTGGGCCCAGCTGGGTGGTCCGCATCTCCTGCCGACAGTTGCATTTCCGTTTGCCAGGAGCCTGCCTTGCCACAGGTTTGTTTCTAACTACCTAAGAAGCGCATAAACAATGTCAGCTTCCCTCTCATGTAAAGCAGCTTTTGGCTTCCTCAACTGACCAGGGCTCTGCACATGTGCCAGGGCTGGAACTTCCCCTCCTCTGGTAAGCTGTGCCTCAGCCCTGAGCTGAGAGAAGTACTTACAGAGTTCGAACAGCCCCCAAACAGTAATGAAACAGACAGATGTTTAAATGACTCAGATTCTAAAGTTGGAGAAGAGACAGGGGAATAAGAAAGGACAGGAAAATGTGTAATATATCAGCATTTCTAAGTCACAATTAAGTACTACTGATTTAAAGTAGTCCACCGAGTTACTATGTTTTAGAAATCTGAGCTGTGTCATGCATAACCCCTGAAGAACAACCACAGTCTTTAAGAGCTGGTATGTGGCTGCCGCCAGAACATCACCTCTGATTAACCTAATGAGAACAATTCCTTGTTTCAGGCAACTCAGTCTAGGACTGCTTCCAGTGCTGTCTCAGTTCAGGTACTTTAGCCCCTAAGAAGACATGCAACGATCCTCTCTTTGTAGATGACTGTAATCAAATATTCTGATCCCTCTAAGTGTGTGGAAATTAATATATATGGAGAAATGTATTATTGCTTTTATCTGTTTAATTAGTGAAACATGTAATCACAAAGTACATGCTCACACAGCAG